TTTTTTTTTTCCAGCAGAGAGCCTTTTTTTAAGGACTCTTTTTTTAAAAGTACAAGCGATAGTTTAAACTATAGGACATGAAGATTTCTCACACACACACATAACAACTATGATGCCATGTGGAACTCACATATCCAATGATATCATGCCATGTGGATTAAAGAAAAACTAATAATACTTTTTTCGTGATAAATTAAAAAGATAAGACCCATAGTAATTGTACATTTGTAAACATGATTTTTTTGGCAATTCCTTTTCATCTTGTGCCATTCCAAGCTGCTGGTTATCCCCTTTTCCCCATTTAGTCATAACTCATCAAGCCTATCATGTAATCGCCTTGTGTAAGTTAGTCAGGAGGAGCTCCTCGTCAAAACTCTCTGCAACCCAAGAACCTGCATGTTCTGTACGTGAGTATGAGTATAGCTGACAAAAGAAATGAGGGAAAACCAGAGTTGCATGGATATGATTAGGTACTATTTATTAACTTAAGAACCAATAGAAACATGATAAGTGATAAAATAAAAATAAAAAACCAATAGAAACATGATAAGTGGGATTGGATTTTAATCGGTTTCGAACAACCTAAAACCAACATCCAATCTGATCAAAAATAAAAAAACCAACATCGAATCCAATTTGGAGTCTTGAAATTAGCATTAGATTAAGTTGGTTGGTTCCATCGGTTTGGATTGAATTGCACAACCCTAAAAGGCAACAAGGCTTTTATTAGGATACTGAATTGATGCGTTTAATTATATCTATGAATAATACTAACAGCATTTAGATTCAGCGTGGGTAATTTGTCTGTGAAATATATATATATACTTGCTATGTAGAGATGATGAACTGCATGTTCTGTACGTGAGTGAGTACTCTCCTTGACAGTGTAACTCAACATCCTTTATTCATTTGCTGCTTGAAGAATAAAATAATAAAAAAAACCAACCAACAAATAAAATGGCCAAAAAGATGTACCCTTATTTCAATCTATCATTACATGATTACAAACTGAGAAGATTGAATAATAACACATGAGCTTGATTAAATTTGCTTGCTACACACATACAAAAAGTATACAGAAACAAGTAGCCAGGTCTCTGAGCTTGAGAGCTGTAATAACAATATATTTCGTATATACGTAAACCTTGAAATAAGCTGACACCAAACGGTACACTACTGAAAGATAAGCCCCCTGAAAAAGCAGAAGCAGAGAGAATGTGCACAAGCATATTCAAGATTTTATAACCAGAAGAAAACCTGTAAATGAGGTTCCCTACTTGAGAATAAATTGTGGGCTACCTAGTAAATGAGGTTCCCCCGAAAAAGCAGAAGCAGAGAGAATGTGCACTAATGAACCATCTCATCTAACTTCTGCCTGTAAAGAGCCAATTTCTGCAACAAAATCCAAATAGCAGAAGCTTTAGCGCCTTATTTTAGGATTAATAATTCTAGAAACTAGAAATAAAGAGAAATATAGTTGCAAGTGATATTAAACTCTGTCCATTTGCTCATGCATATACTGAGAACTATGAATGAAAGCCATTTTGAGATGTACATTAGGGTCTGATTAAAGCCATATATATGAGTCACAGCTTTCCTTGACAGATAAAGTTCAGTGTTTTAAGATCAAGAAATACTTGAAAAATTGAATGCACTAAACAGAACCAGTTGCTGTGTTTTGGGAGCTCCCTTTCTTTACTCAACAAATGGAAGAGAAAATTACACCACATTTTTTTTCCAGCCCAAGTACTCAAGTATTTTTCAAATTGCAACCATTTTGATCATGCTCATGAGTGTGCATGAGGAGACAAGCTATTGAGACTCTAACATTGAACTGCGGAAAAGATCCAACTAAGTGCAGGAAGTTGCATACCTTGGTGTAGGCATAAACCCCAGCCTCAGCAGGTCCGGCAGGACTTCCCCTCCTAATGAATTTCCCCTCTTTGGAAATGTAAAGCATGGGTATTCCAGTTGAAAGTTCTAAACTAATAACCTGCCAAAAAAGAACAAAAAAAATATATGATTCTTGTCTTTTGTTCTATAAAATGATTAGTCCCAAATATGTCGTGCAAATCTCAATGATCAAAATGGTCTGATACCTCTTGAGAAGTTAGTTTGTCAAGATACATTATTATGGATCTCAATGAATTCCCATGGGCAGCAATCATCACATTCTTTCCAGCTAAAAGTTGGGGTTCAATCTGCAGCGTAGTATTTATGCAGTCAGATGTTAGAGAATGGCATAATGTCCCCGAGTGTTTTAGAACTACACATAACATATTGAATGTAATACAAACATGAGGACAATCATATAGGTAAGCATATGATCATGGTCATTCTTACTTGATCTTTGAAATAAGCAACAGCTCTTTGAGCACACATTTCCAAACTCTCGCCATTAGGAGGGGGTACGTCATAACTCCGACGCCACTCATGAACTTGTTCCTTCCCATATCTATCTGCTGTTTCCTGTTTATTGAGACCCTGTAATTCCCCATACCTAAAAACAACATGAATGCCATGCGGGAGTAAGTAGAGGAAGGGGATAAAGGGAAGAAGAATAACTAGACAAAAAGCAGAGATGGAATAACTACATTCTTTCATTCAACCGCCAATCTGCTACAACAGGAATGGATTGCTTTTTTGTGTCCTCACTAAAAATCTGACTCCATGCCGTAGCTTGTTCACTCTCATTATGCATTATAACTGGCACCTGCAGGCTAATTGATGGTTAACAGGCTGAAAAAAGAATATAAAATAAAAAAATCATCTCTCATCCAATGTAACATATTTAGGCCAAAAAAAGGAAAACATAGACTTAAAGGAGTTGAGCATTAAAACAACTGTGAAAATGCAGCTCAACTTAATAGTGTAGTTTTTTTCTCTTTTTTCCTACTTCTTTATATAGGATACAGACAGATGTTTTGTCTGCTTACCCCTGCCAATTACAACCAACGGTATAAAACCAATTCAATTATGCATGGACATCAGTTTCCAGTTTTCTACAATCATAAAGCTTCCAAATAGCCATTTAAGTTCTTCCTACTGACATTCAACAAAATCCTATACCCCAAATTACCTTCTTACGACGGTGCTGTGTCATGGCAAGCATGGCAGTCATCTGTGCACGAATCAGCGCAGATGTATAGATCATGTCGATAGGTATGTTGCTGATTCTCTTGCCAGCTTCGATTGCCTCTTCCACACCCTTCTTGGTCAGAGGGACATCAACACAGCCTGTGAACAAGTTCTTTTCGTTCCACAATGACTCGCCATGCCTAATCAAAATCAGAGCTGCTTCACCTGAAATGGATATGGAAACAACAGTTGGAAATTTTCACCAAGAGAAAATGTATTTCAAACTCATCCACATATGCCATATCAATTGTATAAAGTTAACCAATATGGTATTCATTCAGCTCTAGCCTCATAGGAAACGATTTTATGCAAACATGTTATTGTAGAATGAACAACAAACAATTACTATGCGTATATTTATTTACTATTCCCCAATGAATCAAAATAGAATGAGTAAAACTGCTTACCAGATTTCTTCCGAGAATCATTGGATTTGTTATGTGAGGGGGATGAAACTATATCGATCAATGAAGTCTGGGAAGTCGAGGCTCGAATTATACTAAGGTTTCTCTGACTGGAGTTATAGCATCCTCTTTTTGACAGTCCAACATCAACCTCAAAAGCCTTTGAAATCAATCTCACTGAACCTTTCCCAAACTCTTGATGTAGGCCGGAGGTATTAAAATGCCCAAGGGACTGAGAAGCCCCAATGCTTTGGTTAAATACAGCAGCAGCCATGCTGAAAATTCAAAATATCCCAAGTAATGGCGTAAGTACAAAAGTTATACATACGGGAGGACAAAACTATCTTCAAAACCAAATCATCATAGCTTTGGGGACAAAAGAAAAAGAACATCTTCTACATCTTCCTATGGTCAAAAGCAGGGATGAAAATAAAGGAAAAAGATTAACTGAAACAAAAAAGCAGTTAAAAGTATTGTCATGCTTCTAAGAAAATGACAAATACCTTTTTCTTCTAAGAGTTCTTTGGCATTCCAAATTCAAAATCAAAACCCACATTAAGATGAATCATAATCAATCAGCTCCTATTAACTTTGAAGAAAAAAAAATCCATAAACTTAAATACATGTAAGGAAGGAAAAAAAACAAATGCAGCTCTGAAAAGCATGTTTATAACATCATGATCAGGCGAATTTGACCAACACCTGGAAGGTTAATTATTAGAAAACTAGTACTGAATATGTAATAAAAGTTTAGAGAGAGAGAGAGAGAGAGAGAGAGAGAGAGAGAGAGAGAGAGAGAGAGAGAGAGAATGTGCAGATCAATATGGAAGGGGTCGAAGTAAGCAAATTTAATGCTCTCGAACAATCAACTTATTCCCAACGAATATTAGGCGAAACAAAAATACCAGAAAGGAATGGCTTTTCCTTAATTCTTCTAAATGTTCAAACACATTCATGTCAAAATCACAAATGAAAAAACAAAAAGGAAAGGAAAACGGAAAAAAAGAAGAGACCTTTGCAGAGAATCAAGGTATCAGAGAGAAACCCAGAAGCCAAAATGCCCAGAAGCAAATGCAGAACAAATAAAAAAAGCAGTTTAGAGAAGGGTAGTGGGTACTTAGAATTTACCTTGTTATATAAATGAAAAGCGACACAACCGAGGCAGAGAAAGTGCAAAAGAGAAAATGGGGACACAGTTTATTACGAGAGAGGTTGACGGAGAAGAAGATGATGAGTTGTTTGTGCAAAGTTAATAGCTACATGTCCTTCTCATTGATCTCCAAGTCTCTCAACGAACAAAACAGGAGAGGGAGAGACAGAAAGAGAGTTACATGTGTATTTTGTGTTTTATATAAATTTTTATTTATAGAACAAATCGTTGTAGTTTGTCGTCGTCATTAAAAGCCTTCTCAGGGAAACAGTATATTGACAATTACCCGAAGTTGGCAACAGATTGGTGGGCGTTTATGCCTCTGACTAAGTTGGGCTTGTTTGACTTCAATCTTTTGCTTTTGATTTTTTTGATTTTTTTGATTTTTTTGTCTAATATTAGTGATTTTATTTATTTATTTCAATTGTTATTATCATAGATAATAGAACTTTATTACATGGTTAATATGAGATAAGAGGATAAAGCACGGGCTAATTACTCGGATAACAAATTTCATATCATAATTTGGATAAAGAATATGTTAGAATATGTGATGCGCGTAGATAGAAACTCGTAAAAAAAAAATTGATGTTGATAATAAAAAAGAATTATTATTACCATTATTTTGTGTTTAAACTACATGATCCAAATTAGATTGCCTCATCTACCACAAGAGGGTTTAGCTTTCATGGGGCATGCATGAAAATGAGCCTTGTAATTTATAAATGAGTTAAGAGTTTGAGCGACAAAATGGGTGTCTTATTTTTTTCAAATAAAGCCAACAATATTTTTGTCTTTTGAGTAGTTGGAAGGGCCATGGCTTCCTAAATACATATAACTAGCAGGTGCAGCTAGCAACACAGATTTAAGGGGGAAAAATACCAAACAAAGCAACCCTTCAAAGTCGCCAATTTAAAAGTACCACCTACCTCCACCTCAACACACAACTCTCTCTCTCTCTCTCTCTCTTGGTCAAGAGCATTTTCTCTCTGGTTTATTTGGTGTTTGCATATATAACACGTGCTTGTTTTTGCTTATTCACACAGCTTATGCATGGTTACACCAAATACATGCAATGCAACCATGTGACACCTAACCCCTCCTCCATCAGCAGCATTCAATTATTTATATCAGATCTGGAAATGGACTGGTTCAATGTTGAACGGTTCCAGATTTAACCACGTGGCAAAATCAACAAGGAAGGAAGAGAGGGGTTCAAATCAGTGCGCTGGGTGTGCAAAGAATATTCTGGCATTGTTCCTCTCTTCCCTAATTGGAGAAACGTGTGGGTTTTATTAGACTTTAGAGTAAAGCTTCAAGTCAAGCTTGCCATCCTCAGGGGTTGTGTTTTAGGTTTAATTATATAAACCATTTTAGCATATTCTCTGGCTATTGTATTCCCGACTAACTCTTGATCTAATGGTACTTTTTTCCCAATATTAGAAGAGATTTCAGATTCGAATTCCTCATTATGCATTAATTAAACCCAAAAAAAAAAAAAAAAACTATTGATGTTGTGGAAAAACCTATTTTGACCACTTAATATAGTTCGAATTTTTGGTAACTTTTTTTATCAACATATTCTAGGCATAAATGATTGAATAGGAGGATGGAAATGGTGAAGTAAACCAAGAATATTAGGGTTTAAAGATGACCAAAAGAGCAAAACTTGTAAGTTTTCCTAAAGGGTCGTTTTTATGTAAGTGTATTAGTCTTCCCCTTGTGACCTTGTTTCCTGCCTAATTGAGTTAGGCTTCAAATGATTATAAATCTCACAATGAAAACCAAGTTGCCCATCTTCATACCTTCTAATGCCTACTGCTTATTAAGGTACGTACGACTAGATGATTATAATCCATTTAGTCACTCAACTGACATTACAACCTCTGCTAAAATATTAATCTCTATATAATCATCAGAAGTTGCATTCAGACATACCATAGATATAGACAATTTTAAACAACATGAGCTGAGCCGTTTATAAAATGGCCAAGGCTCTGCCTTCGGGAGATTTTGGTAAGGGGGTTGAATGTCAATCCAACCATTCAATCATTAAAAAAGTTTAAGTCCAATATTTTCTCTCTTTTATTGTATAATAGGATTGAACCCCTCCCACAATACAACCCCTTCATTATAGCATTTCCATTCTACATTGAGCGCCATCTTTGAAAAAATAAAAGCCCTTTTGTTCATAATTTGGGAAGTCCAACTTCATTTTGAGGGTGTTAGAATCTTTGACCAAGACCCCAATGGCATTGAGACATCATTAAAGACTTCTGTGGAGAGAATACGAAATAGGGTTATGAACAATCATGAACATTATGAATATTTTTGGAATGAATTAAAGATATTGCTTGATATATAACTCTCTGTTCAAATATTTTAAAATAAAAAAACCCACTTGAACTTTAGTCAAGTTGGCTAGAGCAAATGTGCTTCATACTCTGCATCCGAGTTCGAATCCCCCTCTCGTAGTTTAAATTTCATTAAAATTAAATATCGTTTGCATCAAAAAGGAAAAACCCACTTATCCACCCACCGGGGAAAACCATTATTTATTTGTGTCAAATGTGAGACTTGGGCCGACCCATATTTATCAAGGCCCGGTCCAAATTTTAAAGGACTAAAGTCTAGCCGTTGAACCCATATAGACACAATTTACATAGACATTTGCTTGGGACGACTTTTCCTTTGCGCCTTAAAAACACAATTTGGAAAGCTCAACTTCAAGGTGCTAATCACTAGGCTTGGCGTGCTAATCAGATTGCATGCTTTAATCCTTCGCTGACAATTTCTATGCAATGTATCAGTACCATATTCGATTCAAATCCTTTGAGAAAATCAATTTAATCAATAATTAATAATATTATTTAACAGAAGCTATCATTTCCAGGACAGAACAGACCATGTAATATAGTTTAAGATAGTATTAGCAAATAAAATCAAGAATCTCTAGATGTTGAGATAAACAAACAAACAAATAGTAGCAAACATTGGCAGGGCAAGCCGAGCAAAGTATTAAAACTAGACACATTCTAGGAACTCAAACCACATCTACTCGTCGAACTCCTGCAATTGCTTGAGAATCTGGGCACAACCAGACACGGCTTCATTCTTCATGAACCCCATTGCATTGGCAAAACGGTTGTATGATGCAATGCCGTTGTAGCCGGTGAGGATAACACGTGCACGGTCACGCCCTGGGGAAGCTGCCGCACAGTCCTTCTGAGAGCTGCTAACAAGAACAGCATCACAAAACTGGTCCTCATGGTCCTCTGTGACGGGGATCTTGTAGGTTCCTGTTGAGTCAGTTCTCCCTTCTTTGGTGTATCGGATATCCATGGTCTTCCTGTCTCTGCATTCTAGCCTAACAGTGGCACCTGATACGAACATCGGTCTTCCTGTCTCTGCATTCTAGTCTAACAGTGGCACCTGATACGAACATCACCAAATAAAACTTGTCAACGGAAATGTACAAATCATAGATTCATAACAGTTTCTTCCAATTCCTTATAAAATTTCACTTCAAATCATCAATAATACTTAGGATAAATACAACCAATCCCAAGACAATACTAAAGCAGCTATGCACTCTAAATTGATATCCAAAACCAGTTGTCAATTTGTCACTACATACGTCAAATAGGAGAATAAAATTGTATCAATAACCATCGAGCCACCAAAACTTTCCCCAATTTTAGTCACGAATCGATGTCATAGCAATGTGTTAGACATAAACGCAGTTGAGAGTGAACCTAGATATGATGAAACACTGTAGCCATTTGATTTCATGTCGTTAGCATTCTCAAATTGTATGCTAGTATGTACACTCCCACAATGCTTGCGCTTACTTGCAACAATTCTTTTTTCTCAGAACAATTTGATGGGTCTTAATTTTCATTAATTTTTCTGAGATGGGTTCTTTGTTTATCCGCACACAAGAATCCTAAAGCGTCAACATTTTGACCATCTACAGTCCAACAGGTCCAAACCCAGTAAGATCTGAAAGTAAAAAACCAATCTTTCACTTAAAATTACAAAGCAAAGAAAGAACCCTTCCAGATCTAGCGAGTTAGAAAGAAATACTAAACCATAAACAAAAAGACCCACATACCAAAAATCCAAAATGAAAAAACAAAACCAGAGTAAAAATGCTTACCGGGAATGTAGGTGGTGGCTGAGGTCTCAAACCCAGCACGGCAAGTGTCACAGTAGACCCTTCCTTCCACCGTGAATGGGGTCCTCATGGGACGCGTGGCGATGGCCAGAGCCGGAAGCACACACAGAGCAAACAGCACAATCAACTTCGCCATTGAGAAGCTTTTGAAGTTTGAGTCTTTCTTTTGTTTTTACAGAGATTTGAGGAGAAGATAAGAGTGATATATGAAGAGAGGAGAGTCAGGAGGTAACGTGATGATGATATTTGATGATAAAAGGCAACGCAACGAGTGGCATTAGTGGGAAAAAGTTCAGCAATAGACGGACAATTGATTGCCCTAAACCGCGTAAAGAGGGCTCTCCTCTACTTGCCGAAAATATTACACCGCTTTTCGAACGAATAGAAGAGTACCACGTGGTGAACATGCCTTGAAAGTGTCAGGTGGGGAAAGGGTATTGGCGATTGCAAGGAGATATGGGGCGAAAGGGCACAGAGGAAAGAACTGGGCTTGTGATTAAGGGCAGCTGGCGCTGTCGGTGGACACATGGGGGCTCATGCTTTTAGAAGCTTGTGAAAGCAGTAAAGTGGTGAACTGGTAATGCGCTGTGAAACGACCGCGTATTGACTATTGGATTGGATGTAGCGTGTTTTTTAAATAATGGAAATAAATCGGATAAAAATTGGAAATAAATCGGACAAAAACAAATGGAAATTAATAGAAAAGGGCCTGGTGGGCTCTAAAGCCCTTAGTGTGTGGAGCAAGCCCTCACCTTTCACGGTGTTTCAGGCCTAAAACAAACATTATGGGCCACATAATCACTTTTTGAGCACAAATACATTAATATATTCAAAATTTTGAATTAACGACTTCATCAATAAATCCCACCTGTTTGTTTGCATACGTGGGTTAGAATAGTTGCCCTTCTTACGCTAGAGTTTTATCTTTCTCCCAATATATTAGAGTGATTTAGAATATCGCTTTGTTATAAAAAAATCACTCACTTTCCAACTCTGATCACAAATGTTTAAATTTATATATTGCCACAATCGAGGTAAAATTAGAAGTTTGTTTGGTGGATCGGACATCACTGAATCGGACGGCTATTAAAAATTCCCTTATTATAACCCCTTACTATAACCCCTCATTCTACTTTCTCCGCTTATTGAACGCTTTTTTGAGTCCATTTATAAAACCTTCGTGTTATAGTGATGATGAAACTAGCCCAATCTATTTGTCCCAAAAAAAAAAAAAAAAAAAAAAACTAGCCCAATAAAAACCGAGACAACCCAGGAAGGATCATAATGTTGATCCTTCTTCAATAGCACGTGCCATATTGATCATTGGCAGCAAATGAGAAAAAACAAAAAACAAAAACAGCATACAAGATTTGAAAATCTATGGAAGTTGTGAACGCTTTGTACAGCAACAGGCTTTACCTTTTTTTATGGATATATTCTAGACGGCAACCTATATCGTGGTGTTAAAGTGGAGACAATCTAATGGAAATTTGGGAAGCCACTTAGTTTTATATATTTTGATGCTGACAAAATGTTCCTGTTAAACAAAAGAAGATAAAAGCAAATCTAAGTTTATTTACTAAAAGATTTTCTTTGGCCTTGATTCCTTCTTCTCATTGATTTGATTAATGATCATGTTTAACAGAAAAAATGATCAATGACCTTGTTCTTTGCATCTTCTAGAGGATTGGCCATTTCAACTTGAACCCTTATACATCATAATAAAAAATAAAAAATTTGAACCGTATACGGCTTTAGTATTAATACAGGCCATTATCCGGTAATATTCACCTATCTCTTAAGAAAATATTTCTCTTCATATCACTATTTTGAACTTGTCAAATTTAATTCACGAGAAGTCACTTTAGTGGTATGTGAAATGAGAATTTGATTGAATGATCAACACCAACGATTTGCTTGCTTGACTTTGTGTTATCAGTTACTTTAGTCGCAAAAAGTGAGTTTGACTTTGTATCGATCAAAGATGATCGATGCTTCATTTTCATTTTCAAACCTCTTCATAATTAAGCAGTAAACAAACACCATTTCCCTTTCCACTCAACTGTCTGCCTATTTGTGATTTTAAATGGAGTTTAAACCCTAAACCTTTATAGTGGTCTAGAAGAATTAGTGGTCTAGAAGAATACATTACAAGTCAACCAAGGAACTTTTTGGTAATTAAGCAGCCAACTAATGAACTTTCCGAACCCACGTTGAGCAAAGCTTGGAATATATTAGAGCATTTCTAATGAGCTTCTAAATTGAACTTTTAGAGAGAATGTTAAAATAAGGAGATAATTAGAAGCTCCTACACATAAAAGAGCGAGAAATGGACTTTTAGTGGCTCCATTTCATTAATCACTAATATTTTAATATTATTTTGAACAAATTTTTTATTCATATTAACTCATATTTGTTATAATTCTCTAAACAAAAAGCATGGTTAAAGTCGAAATTTTATAAAGAACTCACAACTTCAGCATTTTATATAACAGTTGTCAACATCGGATAAAGTAAATGATAATCGGACAGGTTCAACCCCATATAAATGAATCTTAATTCGTTTGCCCTTTTTCCCCACTTCAAATTGGTAGGTTACCACCACTAAAGTTTTATTTATTTATTATTATTAGAAAAATAATAATAATTGTATTCATAAATTAGGCACAAATACCATCAGCACAAGGACAAATACGAATACCCACAAAGCACAATAACCACACATGATTAATCCAGATACAAAATTTCCACCGAAAATATAACAAGTTGTTATAGTTGACCAATTAAAGTCTTCATGTCAATTATTTTGCACAGAATTTCCAAAGATAACAAGTTGTTGAGTATGTGGAAAATAAATATTCTAGAACTAAAGCTTAAAGCATCCATAAGCCAGCAGATAGCCTTGCATTTTGGCTTGGCTAGTATTTCGAACTTGGAACATTATTTTGGTAACATGCAAAAGTTGGACTTTTCTTGTAAGCATGAAAAATAAGTTATCTACAACTAAAGCTAATAAAAGCTTCGCATTAAAGAAAAACACCTCGAATATTGAATATCCTAAACTTCAAACTTCTCCTAACTCTGCTTTGCTTGAAAAAGATGTTGAATCTTAAGGGTTTGGTTGGAAAGCTTCTGATCCAATTGGAATCGCTTTTCATCTCAAAACATAACAAGGAAGAAAAAAATTAGAAGATTCGGATCATACAAATTGACGTCATAGATGAACCCTACAAATGGAGGATTGGCAACCAATTGCGTTAAATTCTATGCATTGTTATATGAAAGTATGATTTGGATGGAGGTCTCTTTACGTTCGAACTTAGGGTGATAAACTAGTGCGCACGTTTCTGTGTTTTCTAATGCTTTAATAGGAAAAACAAAGAGAAGTTTTTTTGTAACCAGTGATTACAAGGTCAAAAGAGAGAGGGAGACTCGAAACAATTCTCATTCTAGATGATTATATAATTTTTTTTATAACAATTGAGGGAAGGTATTCGAATGAGACTTCTTCCAATATTAAATGAGAGAGAGAGAGAGAGAGAAAATCGTTTTGCATACCCGTGGTAAAAAAATTTAGAAGTATTTATGGATTATATAATTACTTTTTAATTTTTGTTTGGAAATCATAGGTGCTCATCGAAAGGGACTTTAAAGTCCGTTTGTAGGAAACACTTCAATTTTTAATAAAAATTTAAAATGCTTTTTTTTTTTTTAATACAATCGATATTTGGTGAATCAAACCTAGGACCTTGAGTGCTCTTAGCCACTTAAACTACACGCTCCTTATATTTTAAGTATTCTTACAAAAGTGGTTTCAGCATATGTGCTTATGAGCCGGCAATGTACTTATTTTTAATTTTTGCTGAAGCACGCTGAAATGCCCTTCAAATTTCTGTATAAACTCTGCTTTCTAGCATTTCTCTGTGATTATAGGGAAACCCTGCGCTGACTTTCTAGAAATCTTTGTTTAGGCACCGAATATTTTGGCTGAAAATGTTGGTTCTAAATGCCTCCTATTCATTCAACAAGGCAAAGTCTAACCTGATAGGTCTATGTACTCTGTATCCATCATTGAATTCTGCAAATATTGTAAAATAATTCAAAATGCGATGCGGCATTAAAATATAGAAAATATAGCAGCTTTCCAGGATTCTAAAATTGCACCTATGGCATCCTAAAAGAAGTTTTCAAAACTCCAAAATATTGGTCAGAGTTTTGTATTTTTTGGTTGATATTTGACTCCTATATATCTATTTCTCATTCCTCAATCTCTTATATCTTATATAAGTTTGCCGGCCATAGAAGCCTGGCATACGACACAAACAAACATAAACAAACCAATGGCTTTCAGCTCAAGGACATGGCTGCTAAGCTCAGTGGTCCTTTTTTCTATCATGTCTCTTTCTTGTGGGAGAGTGCCTCCTAATTCAGGTCCAGTAAAAGCTGTTAATCTTGGAGGCTGGCTGGTCACAGAAGGCTGGATCAAACCGTCTCTTTTCGATGGCATTCCCAACAAAGATTTCTTGGTTATTAATTTCTCTATCTTACTAATCATTTCATATCTTGTATAGAATCTTCAACTTCGGTTATAGTTTTTTTTTTCTTTTTCGTTTTAATTGTTTTAGGATGGAACTGGACTTCAGTTCAAATCTGTGACAACTGGGAAATATCTTGCTGCTGAGTTAGGAGGAGGAAGCACCATAGTTGCAAACAGAACATCAGCTTCAGGCTGGGAAACATTTAGGGTAAAATTTTGACATGTTTTTTTTGGTTGATTTGCATTGTCAATATATTCTAGTATATAGTTTGTGCTCACAGAAATCTACATGGTGCTGGTTATTATTTTGTTGCAGCTGTGGAGGATCAATGAGACCACATTTAACTTCAGGGTCTTCAACAAAGATTTTGTGGGGCTTGATGTCAAGGGCAATGGAGCTCAGGTGGTGGCTGTTTCGAAAACACCGGGTAGCTCAGAGACGTTTGAGATCATAAGGAAGCCTGATGATTCGAGCCGGGTTCGAATCAAAGCACCCAATGGATTCTTCTTGCAGGTGATTGATTTGGTTTGGTTTCATCTTTGTTGAGACAGAATGTGATGGTGTGATTGGGGGATGCAGGCCAAGACAGAGGATTTGGTGACAGCTGATTATGCAGGGAGTGGTAGTGGATGGGGAAACAATGATCCATCTGTTTTTGTGATTAGCTTTTCTGGAAAATTGGAGGGAGAGTTTCAAGTAACAAATGGTTATGGTCCAAAGAAGGCTCCACAAGTTATGCGGGTAAGAGATATTGACAGCACAAAACTTCATATT